TGTCATCCATATATGTCCCCTGGATCGCCCCACGTCCAAGGAACTCGAGTCCGACCTCAAGAGGGTAGCTTTTACGAGGAAGGTAGCCGAGGTTGATGTAAGGCCACCTAGTAAAAGGGCCAGGACGGGTGACCTTGGCATTACATTCTCCGACGCGGATTTGACAGGCGTAGTGACTCCTCATAACGACGCCCTTGTCTTGACCCTGAGGATAGGGAAATTCGATGTCAAAAGGATTTTGATAGACTTTGGAAGTTCCTTGGAAGTGATGTACTCCGAAANATTGGATCATTGCTGACCCTCAGACGGAGGGAATCCGAGACTCTTCGCCAGTACGCCATCCGATACTGGGAATAGGTCAATGAGGTAGAAGGCTGCTTAGAGGTCATGGCAGCAGCATCTTTCCGGCTCGGCTTGACAAGGGACACGGACCTGTACCGATCCCTGACCAAGAAGACTCCCTCGGATATGGGAGAACTAATGGCCCGGATAAACAAATACTCGAGGGTTGAGGACGAGATGGGAAGCAGTAAAGGCCGAGCCCTCCAATCTAAGAGAAAAGAGAAGGAGCGGGAAGATATTCCCCGAAAGGGATTGCTACCCCCTCCAGGGGGTCCGTCCAAAGGAATTCACACTGTGTTCAAGGAACCCATCTTCAAGCTGCTCCATAAAATCAAGCACGAGTCGTTCTTCAAATGGCCGCCCAGGATGCAGAGCGACCCCTCCACCCGTGATCAAAAGGTTAGGTGTTCCTATCACCGGGATTTCGGGCATCGCACCGAAAGCTGCAGGGTGTTCAAATCGTTCTTGAAAAGATTGGTCTGAGACGGATATTTGAAAGAGTACATAGAGCCCAGGCCAGAAGAGAGACAAGCCCTTGCCCCGACCGAGGAGCCGGACAACATCATAGATGTCATCCATATATGTCCCCTGGATCGCCCCACGTCCAAGGAACTCGAGTCCGACCTCAAGAGGGTAGCTTTTACGAGGAAGGTAGCCGAGGTTGATGTAGGGCCACCAAGTAAAAGGGCCAGGACGGGTGAGCTTGGCATTACATTCTCCGACGCGGATTTGACAGGCGTAGTGACTCCTCATAACGACGCCCTTGTCTTGACCCTGAGGATAGGAAAATTCGACGTCAAAAGGATTTTGATAGACTCTGGAAGTTCCTCGGAGGTGATGTACTCCGAAACTTTAAAACGGATGGGTCTTGGCCCCAAAGACCTCACCAAAGTCAGGACACCCCTCATCGGATTCAACGGCTCGTTCGCACTGCCCGTGGGGAAAATCACATTGTCAGTTGTCACAGGTCCCTTTGTCATCGACACCGAGTTTGTCGTGATCGATACGGACTCTCCCTACAACGTGATTATAGGGCGAACATGGCTACATGCGTTGAGAGCGGTGCACTCCACTTTCCATCAGAAATTAAAATTCGCCACGCCAGAGGGTATCATGGAGATCCGGGGGGACCAAGCGTCCGCGAAAAATTGTTTTTATTCAGCCGTTCGAGCCGGGGCGTTCAGCCAGGAGAAGGGGCGAGCACCGGAAGAGATTATGGAAAAATAGCAATCACAGTCCGGGCGTCCAGGAATGGATGACCCCCGGATAGACCCAACTGAGCGGTCGGTAGAAGACCTCCGGAAGGTGCCCTTGGTAGAGGGAGAAGAAGAGAGGTATTTCTTAGTTGGGACCTCGATGCCCACAGCCGAACAGGAGGAGATGATCGAGTTCCTAAGGGGAAATACAGACGTGTTCGCATGGAACGAAATGGAAATGACGGGGGTAGACCCCGAGATAATCACACACAGGCTGCATGTTGACCCGTCGCACAAGCCAGTCAAACAGAGGCCACGACGCATGGCCCCGCATCACACCAGCGCGGTCAACGAGGAAATCGACAAACTCCTGAAGGCCGACGCCATTCGAGAGATACAGTTCCCAGAATGGCTGTCTAATACGGTGTGCGCAAAGAAGAAAGGGGGGAAATGGCGTGTCTGCGTAGACTTTACAGATCTAAACAAGGCAT